CTACTATATATATATATATATATATATATATAGTAATCGTAAAACTCCCTAACCCTATAGGCGAAAAGTGAACAGTGATTTCGCCTACCCTCATCACCATCCAAACTTCATCGCACGGTCACAATTGTCCGGTAGTGTTTCAATTTTTCATTTTTTTTAACTAATCGAAATGATCTAAAATTTAGAGCGTGTGTACATCTTAGTGAGGCGCACCTAATAAAAATATGAAAAAAATAATTCGTAAACTAGAAATTGACCAAAATACCCCCATAAATTTTTTGGGGTATTTTGGTCAATTATTTTTTCATATTTTTATTTGATGCTCCTCATTAAGATGTACACACGTTTCAAATTTCAAGTAATTTGGATTTGTAGAAAAAAAAATGAAGATTGAAACACTACCGGACAACTGTGATCTTGCTATGAGGGTAGACAAAATCACTGTTCATTTTTGCCCAAGGGTGTTGGGAAGAGTTTTCCATATATATATATATATATATATGAGTAATGATCCTATAGGACCCTCTCCCACCCATGTGTGTAGGACCTCAAAGGATCACCATTAAAGTTGGTATGGATCTCTAGAAAAGTTATTACAAGGGTGTGAGATTTGACTTTTCTATAGATCCATGTCAAATTTAATGGTGATCCTTTGGGGTCATACACACATGGGTGGGAGAGGGTCCTATAAGATTATATATATATATATATATATATAGGGTTATGTGAGGGTGCTCACACTATAGAGTATTTTATATTTATACTCAACAAATTTTGGATATTTATATACCCTTGTTTTGTACATATAGCAATTTTAGTAAGGGTATTTTTTGTCATTAGGAGGGGTGTGACATCACCTACATGGAGATACTGTAGGTGAGTTTGAAGTCCTCTCTCTGCTCTCTTCTCTACAGTCTTCTCTCTGCTCTCTTCTCTACGGTCTTCTCTTTGCTCTCCTCTCTACAGTCCCCTCTCTGTTGTATATCCAGTAGTACTCGTAGCCATTTGGTTCTTTTACTGTAAAAGTGTAAGGACTTAAAATAAAAGGTTTAAGTCAACCTGTTATTCTAGGGGCTCCCTTCTTAAACATGCTTTATCCAATTAAAATTGATGATACAGGAATAAAAGCTAGTAATGAAGGGCATAAGGTTAAATTCACCTTTATTGATAAACCTAGAATTCATGAAATCAACAACATGAAAGATAAAATTTCTTCTAAAGAAAAATTTCTTTATTATCTGAAAGAAGAAACAAAATACAAAAATATGGAAGAAAAATTATCTCTTCCTGAGATTCAAAACAAAATTAAAGCTCTTTTTAAGAGATATGGAAAAAACAATATGTGTTGATATCCCCAATGCTTTATTGAGCTGGGTTTCAGGTTCTAGAGGTAAACTAGACCAATTGCTCTTGATTATTCATCTTTTGTTTTAAAACAACACCAAGTCCTTGTTCTGAGGCATCTGTCTCTACTATTTTAAACGCTGTGGGACTTTTGTTTTGATTTTTTTGACTGCCTTGGTATGTTCTTCGGTCCATTCTGGATGATTCTTTTTCAACCTCTAGAATAAAGGTTTTGCATCTAAAGCCAAATCTTTATAGAAATCCGAAATATAATTTAAACAACCAAAGAATCTTTGTAATTCAGTTTTTCTTTTAATCATATCCGGAAATTTGGATGCTAATTCTATTGCTCTATCAATGGGAATAATTCTTCCTTGGAAAATATTATGTCCTAAAAACCTTATTTTTGTCTGGCATGGATTTATTTTTCTCGCAAAGACTATGAAGCCAGCATTTTCTATTGCTTTTATAAATGTACTTAAATACTTCCAATGCTGATCAATTGATTCAGAGAAGACAAGTACATCATCGATATAAACAATCATGAATTTGGTATAAGCATTAAAAATTTCGTTCATGATATTTTGAAATTTTGATGGTGCATTTTTTAATCCGAAAAGCATAACATTCCATTCAAATTGTCCAAATGAAACATTAAAAGCAGTTTTGTATTTAATGTTCCATGTAGGTGATGTCACACCTCTTTTATTGACTAAACATACCCTTATTAAAAAAATGCCCCATGTACAAAACAATGGTATATCAGTATCCAAAATTTGTTGAATACAATTATAAAATGC